GTATTTTGATTCCGCGAGCCGCTCACTCTGAATTAAAAATCGCACCATATAAAACTGTACAAACTCTATCCTTTACGAGTTCAAAACGAAGCAAGCGAATATTTGAGGGCAATTTAAAATTCCATATTATGAAAATTGGAGCATATTACATTAGGGTGCGCTTATCACGAATTAATTAATATTTTGAAACGTGTGAGGGCTAATTTGATTAATTCGCAGCACAAATTGCCACATTCACTACGTGCGGGTATACATATCAATAAAGATAATTCAGTTTTGTTGTAATATTTCTTTTATACCGTATGTATCTGCGTTGGTGTAAAATACATACTTGCTTTAAAAGCAGTGAACTTATTACTGTACAATTTAAATCAATCAGTATTCTTAAAACATGTAATATGTTCGTAGATACTTTGCCAAAGATGCTATTTAAGTCGCTGTGGGTCGAATAATCATTAGAAATATTGGTATAAAACGTTCAAGTGATACGACCCTTTTATTACTTGTAGTAACTTACCCTTAAACTTTCATTATCTTCAGCTGGCAGAGTCAAGTTTCTTTCTGCTTACCCTGTATATTGCTTTAAGTTACACTTAATATTTAAAAGGGCCCTTTATTTCCATCGCATTTTTAAAGCCACGCTTCACGTTGGCTTGTAAGACTTATTTAAATTCAAATTTCAGCGTGACCAATTTATTTGTGCACAGACAAATCGTGGAGTTCGATTTTAAAGCAAAGTTCTACCACATAACTTTCATCTCCGCTTCGATTTCGTCTCAACAGCTTTCAGAATTTATGCCAAATATTTTTACGTGTAGGTGCGATAAAAATTATTTTCATGTTTTTATTTGAGAATTTATCGGATGGCCTGATAAAAATAATGAGTCCTTTTATAATTAAAGGTGTACAAAGTTGAATAACACAGTCCGAGAACATACGTTCCTCGGAAAAATAAAATAATTGGTTACGAAGGATATTTTTGTCAAAGTAGCGACTGAGAAGAAGGAAAACATCCAATTGTATGTTCAATCTAAAAAAAAATTGAGCAATGTTGTAGAAATGAGGAAAATTCTTTGAAGGTGGACAATATTTACATTGATATGTTTCAGCTCGCAAATTGTATTAATGGGATGTTTCTTTCACTGTTTAGAGTCCTTCTTAATGGTGTAAGTATAATATCATAATATAAATCCAACATTGCACAAACATAGAACTGCAGACGTATATTGATTCTCGATCAAATGAACCTTAATGGTATGTTCCTTAATGTTTAAATGTTTAACGAAAGTTAATCCTGAGTTTTAAAAGGTCTTAAAATTTCGAATTGGAAATTGGGAAGCATGATTTAGGTCGGTACAAGTGGCGAAATAAATTCAAAACATTAAATAATAAAATCAAAACACAATCAATTTACTCATTATTACATATTGTAAAAATCGTACAATAAGAAATAAATCCCTACTCGTTTCGCACATTCATTAAACAGGAATGTTATTGCCGTCGTATACAGTTATTTTAATTTCAGGCAATCATTCCAATATTTCGCTTTGAAAGAATATAGATTTGCTGATTTTCTCATTTGAAAATCGTATGTGCAAGCTGCGAAAATTTCATGTGGGTAGAATATCAATGATGCCGAAATTGTTTAATGAAACTGATTGTTTACATAATCTGTTTGACATGAACCATTAGGCGATATCAAAGCTTTATTAAAGCAGCGTTTCTGTTCGTTTGGGCAAAAATGTTCATTTCATATTTTGGCGGAGGTATGCAAAATCATTGGTGCACATTTTTGCTGGTGTAATAAAAGCACGACAAGCTATATCAATGTTGATACTTAGAGGACTGAGTAAAAATTGCCGGACCATTAGAGCTTTTTATGTCCATACTTTTATTTTCGGCAAATCAGACCCATCTGTACGATTGTGTAAACATGATAGATTAGTGCAGATTTTCCTCGATAAATCTCTATCAGGCAATAACTCTATGATTTACGTGTCTCTCGCATTCAATGCAAAATATACACTATCGTGTTGAATATTTTTGCTATGTTCGATCAAGAGCTCAATTACCCATTCCGCTTACCCAAGTTATATGCACTACTTTTGTACACCTCTGGTATATCTTAGCTTAGTCAGTTGCAACCTCAGTACTTATGTATTTGCTGATTGTGCTTTTAATGTTTACCTTCGCAGTTGTATGACTTAGCTTTAGGATTCTGTTCGAGACCTTTGTCGTGGTCAGATCTTTGTATCAGTTGCTCTGAATAAATTTGTCTTTTTTTTAAAACAGTTTATTACGGTGTTGATTCATAATTCCCACATATAACATAAATTTAAGAATGCAGTTTCAATTGACTGGGACTATAAAGCGTGAAGTGAATCACGCTTATCATAGGCCAAATATTTAAAGCCTAAAACTTGTCTCTAAATTCATGACTTCGAGTAGTAATGTAATATCCCGTTTAAAGTTTTCGCCTTGCATGCTTAACTGAATCACTTCCAGGATATTCCAGATCATAATATGTATGCTTTAGGTTTCCAAGTCGTGGCAAACTTCTCTGCGCTGATAAAATTAAATTACAGCTGATGAATTCATATGTTAAATCTGTTATGAGACATACTACTATACCTACTTGAAAACCGACGCATAGTAATTCAAAAATCACATTCCAGATTGTCTAGTTTCCATTTTCAATATATATATATATATATATATAATTAAGGATTAACAACCATTAAGAACCTGTTGTATTATTTAATTTTTATATTTTAGTTTATTTATATTATTTTAATTAATTAAACAAAAAAAAGTGAAAGATAAATAGAAAGCGTTGTTTTTATAGCTAGAATGAGCAAAACTAAAATAATGTTAATTAGAAAGCAATAAAATCTGTATTAATTAGAGTCGATAAAATATATTTGGTGCATGCTAATCGAAAACTGAAATTGATGACGTCTAAAGTGGAAAATAAAAAGAGGGTGAACAATATTCAAAACATTAGTCCTGGTCGCTCCACCGGTGTGAAGCAGAAACTCACATTAAAACCAATACTTACAAATAAAATCCAAGCGTTTCAAATGTGCACTTTACGGGGAATTCTTAAAATATCTTATAAAAGAGGCCATCTGAAGAGGCCGACAGGAGAATCGAGAACTTCACATACATGTGAAATGGAGAAAAACTTTCTACCTGCGATACATATTGCTTACGTAAGTGTCAGCTTCTCATATTTCAAGACAAGGGAATAAAGTGGTGAATGAGACAAAAAATATCTTAATAGTGGAATATGATCCAGTAGACGGCTATTTAAACTTTTGGAAAATCAACCATTAATTAGATGTATTTTATAGGAAAAGAGAAATACAAGGAGCTAGAATTAAAAAAACTGCGGAACGATGACAAGTTGGTTGAACCAAATCATATTAAGTAATTCAGTTTTGTGGCATAAAAAAGATACCTTAAACCTCAAAGGAAAACTATGTAATTATTTGAAATATTATAATTTTCACAATTTAGAGGTGTATGACACCAGTTTTCTTAATAAATTGTGGATAATGTAAAATATTTTTAAATTGTATGATACCGATTAATAACAATAGAGCAATTATTCAATCTTCATATGCAGAAGACTCTGAGGAAACGGAAGACGAAGTCAGAAGAAACTGAACAAATCTGTGAAACCGTTATTTGTTATTCATACGCTGGTTTTCAAATCTCGAAAACGAGGTCAAATTATTGCATAATGTATTATCAGAAACAATTTCATTTTTAATTTTTCTGTTAGTAACTTCAGTTTTGATATACTCATGTACTTATTTTTATTTTATTTTGGATTATTCAATAGTTTCAAAGAATAATAAGAAAATTCTCTTGGCAAGTAGACGATTCCTCTGTATTGTTGAACAGGTCTTAAAAATTAATGGCTGAATATTTTAGCACTTAATAATATTTTTTAACTTTTGTTTTCAATTTTGAATGTCGAATGACAAACATATTGCAGATTTATTCGTTAATTCCGGTTATATGGATGGCAATAAGCATTTTATTATATTATAGTGGAAATATATCCTACTAATATACAGTCGAGAAGTGCACTAGTGGAATGTAATAATAAATGAGCTGAAAACGGCGAAACTCTAAACATTTCTAGTTGCGTTCTGAGGATGAAAAATATTTCCACTAATTTGATGCTCTGTGGACTTTGCACTGTTAATGACGTCGCATTTATCTATTATAATTGTGATATTAAATGATAAACTTTAGTTAATTTTTGAAATCTATTGTTTACGAATTTCCAAGAGACACTTGAAACTAATTTTACCTCTTAAACTAAACATCTCTTAAAGTTGAATTCTTCTGAAATTCCCTATGAAAACCCAAAAAGTAAATGCCATTTAGCTCAAGTCGTTATCTCGTGCGAAATCTCACAGTTGACTAAATGGGGGAGAATAATGCGTGTACGTGTTGCCCTTTGATGAGTATAATTTTCGCAATTATTAATAAATTGTGCCTTGCCGCTTCAATATTTGTCAATCAAACGTAGTGACGCAATGTACATTATTTAAGGTTCTTAAACTACAGCAATTTTTTTATGTCTTGAACTAAAAGTTAAATAAAAGACTAAAATAAATTTCAATGCCAGGTTCAAGTTCGAGTCAAAATTATATTGTATTTATTGAATATTAAGCTGAATAAGAATGGAGATTCTATTTCGGTCAGGTCTTGTACCTACTTGTCATCACACTATATGATAGTTTATGTAAAACTACGCAGTTTAAAAATATGGTAAGCAAAGTAATAAAAAGAAGTAACACCTGAAACGATGTCTAATTGCACCGGAAAAACCGGAAATTGTCATAGCGTATCTGAATAAATGGAGTAGCATCAATGAATTGATCTCAAATTTGCGATGATTTCGAGAAAATGTCCTTTGTAGTAGCCCGCCGTACCTTCGCCACGCAATATATCACTGTCAGAAATTTATTTTCTTGTTTCAGCATACCGAAGAGCACAAATTTCACGACCAAGGAAGTGGAGACTCTGAACAACAAGACTTCGTTTCATGTGGAAAACTTGCGGCCTTACACAGTTTATAGCTTCCAGATAATAGCTTGGAACGAAATGGGTCCGAGTAATTTTAGCAAACCATCTTACTTTATGGTCACTTTGAGAGAAGGTAAGTCTTAGTTGTATGCGTCTTTACCAACAAGTTCAATTAAAACCGTTGATCCAATAGAAACCTAGGACATGTGGTACTAAAAAACTAAATATTCAGATTCAAAAAATCAATGTCTTAATACGTGCAAATATTACATATCTAATGTGTGTATAAATGTATTTCTTAGACAATATCCCAAGCAGTTTCGCTGAATTTTGTCATACAATTTTCTCACATCGGTTATTAGTTAGCGAAAAATCAACAATAAAGAAAGTTAAATAAGGGATATATGCATGATGGAAAATATAAAATATCTTTGGTTCAAGACCGATGTTAGTATAAACGCAAGCAGATAAAATACTCCTCATAGCTACTACGCATCACTTCTATACTAAAAATTTATAGTTATTGTTATCTTATACTTATGTTAATTACACATTATATTGTTACACATTATACAATTAATACACGTTTCCATTGCAGTAAGTCCTAATTATCGTCCAAGCAAACTTGATCGTGCCTAAAACTACATTCGAATTTAAAAAAGAGAGCAAAATTTAAATTCAAAATTCCCAAAGAAAATACAGCATTTAAATTTATAATAGTGATAATATTACCGAAAAATGCCAAGTCAATTTTGAATTATCGGAATGTGCCGGAAGTTGTGTGGACTTCGAATGACTCTTGAGACTTAAATTGTTCAATTTCAAAGAACCTTTCGCAGCCAATCTGTTCAACCCGAATAAAACTTTTAGAATTTCCGTTTATGATTTTTCCGGCCAATTCTTTCGATACAGTTATTTTCAAACGGTTTTTTTAATCCGAAATGGAGTTAGGTAGAATTGAAGTTAGTGTATGTAATAAAGTTGGCCCTTGAGGACTTAAGCAATACAACTGAGAGAATTGTTCGATAAATTGTCAATTTAAACTATAGAGAAGTTTTAAACGACTTTTCAAGGTTTTACCACTTCAAGCTTCGATTTCTTATTAAATTGTTCGGATTGATCTTTGCCAATAGCATGAGTCGAATTGCTTTTTATAATTGGAAGTTAAATAAATAGAGAAATTTTACTGTGTGGTTGTAAAACGATGCCGGTACTTCTTTTTGCATACATTTTAAAACTTCTTTTTAAGAGTTTCAGCTATTGTAAATATAAATGTTTTAACCAAATTGTTAATGTGATATAACGTACTACAAAATGACATATAATAAAAAGTGATTAATTTTTAACATCCACCAGAACTTTAATAAACATTCGTCCATGGCATAAAAATTTCAAATTAGGTCAGCGATCGATCAAATTATTTGTTAAAAATTCAAATTATTAATGATTTTCAACTATTTCAAAGCAATCTGGAAATTAAGCGATGAAACGTTTAAACTGTACGTGCTCCTAGAGTATTCAGATGTGTTGTAAATCAGTAAGTGAATATTATATCTAACATATATATCGAGTAAATTATTAAGCAACTAGTGATCTAATCACATAAGCGTAGTGTTTTTGTTCTAGCAGTTATGCCACTGACCCATCTTCTAAGCACCTAAAACTATAAGAGGAACTTTCTAAATCTGATTATAAGTTTTAAATAATAAGGGTCCACTGTCTAGTCCTTCATTTACTAAAATGGCATGATCCGCGTAACAAGTTACCCTGGTGACTTGCAAAATTTAACTTTGTGAACATAGTTTGTCAAACACAGTTTGCAGCAATAGATTAATAATGTTTAAGCACCTTTGTACATTCCTGAACTTGTTAAGAACAGCTGTGAGCTACGCAATTTGCGTATATAAATTTGACTTTTTGCGTCCAGAATTAAGGAAAAAATGAGAGGCCAGTACGCGGAGATTAATGAACTTTGGGTTAAAATAATCATAAACAAAGACGATATTCTGTATTTAGACTGTACAAAATTACCCAGTTAAAAATAATAAGATCACGTTCATGAAAAATAAATTTTCCGATGTAGTTTAAATCTCTTAAACTCCCAGATTCGACAATCTTTATATAAAATAAAAGGAAACAACAAACAAGAAGAGACCAGCAAACGGTAAATAACTCAGAAATAATGGAGAATTCCTAAATAGGCAACTCAAACGGTGTTAAATTCTAACGAATGTCTGTACGTGAGGAAGTTCGTAATTCGTGCTTAAAAGTTGCCTTCAACTTCCAAGAGTTTTAGCTTTTTATGCATTTGATTGTACCAGTATTTGATGATCAGTGACTAGAATATGGTGATTTCAAATAATCGGAATAGTGAAACAAGTATTTCCAGTTGTTTTGTTTTAAAGAATACGAATATAATATTTTTCACTCTAATATTGAACCGGATTCCAAATAAATATAATTTTCAATACATGCAATTATTTCTATTGTTTGATCATATTTGTAAATGTTAGTTTACGATAACTTTTACAAGATATGTGCTATCAACCAACATATTTTCAAATGTATTACTTATAGAACTATTATTAAATAAATTAAAACATGTTCTTAAATGCATTAACACCAGGTAACATCGAAACCGTCCAACTTTGGGAAAGACACGTGTTTATTGCAGAATACCACATTTCCATCGAGTTAAGTAATGGAGATGGCTCTTTTCATGTAAGATTCGCTTTAAAGAATGAAAGTATTTAGCAAACGAAACTATGAAAACATGTTCGAGCACCTGTTAGTCAAACTTAAAAAAAAAAAAAAGTTTTCAACATTGAAGTGTAATAACTAAATCCATTCCAACGGTTCAAGTAAAACAGGTTCTGTATCAAAGTAAAATGCAAGAGAGGAAAGGTTGAGGCAACAGTAAAAGTAGACACAGTACTAATTATTTGTTTGCCTAAATGTAACCGAAAATTTTATAGTTTGGAGGATCACTCAAAAAAAACACCTATTATTATTATATTTCATCAGTTAGTAAAATCATCTAATTACTATGCATAACATGTAGACATGTTTCCTTATATTTGCCCAATATTATCCAACACTGTCCAGGCTAATATTGAAAGTGCTGAATAGAATATGATTACTTAAATTGAGTCTGCTAGGAAATATATTTTAGTTTACGGACACTTTATTACAGATCTTGGATCTTCATGCCTCTCTTAGGCCCTATAGACATAAACAGACACTTAACTCTGCGTAGATAACTGACAAAGTAAAATTTATAAAAACCATATCAAGAATCGGGCATGAAATTGTTCTCTTTACTACGGGGAACGTTATTTGCATTGTACATATTTTCGAAACTTCATTTTATATCGAACCGGAAAGCTGACCTGAATTATCAATTTCAGACCTGGAGTACGAAGCAGAACGCGATTTGACTTGACTACTCAATATAGTAAACACACTCCAAATGAACATGTTATAAGCAAACATATTGAAAAATAATAGGCAACGATAAGTGAAAAATTCTTTTTTCACTTATTTTTTAGATATTTTAAGATAATTTAATATCTCTACTGACTTTTTATTACCTTTTAATTAAATAATTTGTTAGCCGAATGGTTCCTATCTATCGTATGTCATTACAATTGATAACAGTAAGTTTTCATCTAGACTCATTTTTGGACTGTTTGTGTATAAACCTCTGAGATACTTTAGTAAATATCAGAAAGTAAGCATTTCTCCAGCCAACATTGTGCGGCAAAGTAACTAAATTTAAGAATTTTCTTATCCTTCTTAATACATTAGAATTTCAGTTCAATATTTGAAATCTTAACATTGTTGCATGTTCTTGTTATACTTAAAGAACTTCTGATGAGAGTGTTTGAGACGCAAAAGAATTTAAACTTGCCAAAAAAAATACATTATTTTAATTCCCTCCAATCCAAGATAATACTAAGTACTCCATAGTCGAGTTGTAATAACTGTTGGCCACAGCTACCATTGTAGCCATTTTTACTAGTTCTTCTTACAACAAACAATGTTTTAACAGTTTCTTCGGCTAGAGGAATGTTTCAATAATTAGGATACAGTACAGAATTATTTTTCGCAGTAGATTGCAATAGAAAAGTTAATAACTTTATACACTTACTTTAATATTGCTTAGTTCAAGAAGAACATCTATGTCCACCTCGATTATTACTGTCTATGCCTACTCTATTTTCTTTTTTATTTTCTTGCATTAAAAACAATGAACCTGTTACTAAGACTGCAGTAGTTTGGGTTAGTTTATCATTATTCTTAGAGACAAAAAACCGTCGAGTACATTATGTTACAACACTTATTCACGAATGACTTATTTATTCATTTAAAAATATCGTTGTGACTAAACTTTATGCAAATGCAGTAGGTAATCTCGATGATTAGAAACTGCCTGACAAAATTAATTATGAATAGAACAAGACTTCCATTAACGCAATTACCTAAAAATTTTGAAAAATGTCGTTTCCAATAGTTCTATTCGCTGTCATATTTAATATTCTAGATTTTCCTCCGGAACAGTTTTTAATGTGTGACATGGATCGGTCAACATTGAGTCCAAAGAGTTTTTATAATAAAACGGCCTGTGAAATACTGAACAATACGAGAAGGGTAACCGTAAGTGTACTTAACCCCAAGTTTATTGGACCCAACAAATATTGGAATAATATACAGCTTGCATTAAAAACTTCTATGGTAAATGTGAAAATTGTAGTCACTTTCCAACGGGCCTATGTTGCTTATTTTTATGAACGGCAAACGAATGTTTATTGAATATTATAATTCCTCTTTGAAGGTTAGAGCCTTATTTAAGTTTAAGTAAGTCGAAGCCCCAACTACAACACGTTGAAATATGTGACAATACCTAAAAGCTGTACAATTTAGAAGTCGAAACTACAAATTAACAACATTTTGGAAATTAATAATAAATAAATTAATATTACTTCAACATGCTGTTGATTCAAACAACATACAATATTAAATGGAAATAACAAAACTGTATATTTAAAGTAATAAGGTTGATTCAATCAAATTTAATGGTTTGGTAATGTACAATAGCACACAAGTTATTTAAGTCCTGCGGGTTTCCTTTCC